CCTGATTCCAAGTCTTCTTCTTGACTGCTATTTACAATGCACTCTCGCGCCACTAACGCTGGACGTTCCTGGCTTTCCTTCACTTGTTTCCTTTGGCCCCCTTTTCCTCGCTTAGCTCTTGTCACTCTGGGTTTGGCTTTAGCTCCCGTTCCTCCTTCCACTACCGTCGTACTGCCGCTTGGGCCTTGTCCCGCCGCAATTGCTTCGCGTCGCGCTAGCATTTCTACCGGTAGTCTTACCGGAATTTTTAATGGCTGATAGTCTTCAGTATCCGAACTGTCGGACTCGAAGGTGGCTACTCGTACCGTCTGCGTGGTCTTAGCTCTTTTTGATTTCGGGCTCACGACTGCCCCTTTCTTTGCGCTCGCTAGCATATCCTTGAGCGTAGCCGGCTTCCGTTTCTTGGGAAGGTCAGGTTTCGGTTTTGATGCCACTGCACTTTTCCTAAGAACGGATCCGTTTTTAAGTTTTAAAGTATGTTCGGATTCAGAGATTACATTGGATTTTAGTAATTTATACCTATTTAGGGTCTTGCTGGTAGTACGCTGGTATAGGTTGCGTCCTCTTCCACTCCCCTGGATGTTAGGGCCAGTGTCTCCACTCCCTTGGATATGTGGGGCAACTTCCGATACCTCCCTTGGACATGCGTCCATTTGTTGGTCACTATCCAGCGTGATAGGGGCCCTTCGCAAAGCTGGAGCGTATGTAAGGTCAGACCTCTCCTCCCAATTCGAATGCTGGGGGAATGCAACTTGACTCATCTCAGGATCAGTTTCGTCTAAACACAAACATTTTTGTTTTAAGACGTTCTGAGGAGTGGCCTTAATGGAGCTGACATCTCCGCTATCGCCGGTAAATATTTATGTAAGCTGTGGATTGAGCCCATAAATGACTTTAATTGCGTGTCTGTTTTAGGAGCTTTTAGTGCGTCTATCGGCGATGTTTTTCGTTTAAGGGGCGTAACCCCCGTTTCGGTTATACGATGGCCAAGCCACTCGCATTCGCGTTTCGCAAACTCGCATTTTGGTAACTTCAAGGATATGTTTTCATGGTTTAGTTTCCGGATGATCTTTTCAACCAAGGAGATATGTTCTACTTCCGTTCCCTTGGTTGTAACCAAAATATCATCAATAAACGCGTTCGCTTGTGGGAATTCGTTTAAAATTGAGTCCATTACTCGCTGGAACTCTGCCGGCATTGACGTTAACCCGTAAAACCCTGTTCGGAAACGGTAAGTTCCTGTCGATCGTCCGCCCACCAAAGAAAAATTACAATGCACGCTTGTTTCTTCACTAAGCGGTAGTTGCCCATACGCGTACGTGAGGTCCATCGTAGTAAAGTACACCTCCCCTTGTTTTTTCTCGGATATGAGTTGTCCTATTGTATCTACAAGTTCTTCTATATTTGGCATCTGGTATTTGTTTTTATGCACTTGTTTATTAAGCTCTCGTGATTCCAATGCTAATTTTACGGACCCGTCTTTTTTCACGGTGATGACGATCGGAGAAACAAAATATCGATCCGAACACTCTTTCAATTTTTCTATATGTCCCTGGGTTAATAGCTTATCAATTTCTTTGTCCACTTTTTCTTGGAGCGTTACCGGCACTCTCCGTCCCTTCTGCTGCACTGGTACAAGATTTTTGAAAAATTCTGCTTGAACTTTGTAGTTCCTAATTTTTCCAACTCTAGTAAAAAGTTTTGGGAATAGCTTGCTGAAGTATGATTGCCATTGATCCATCTGTTCATCCTCCGGTTCATCGTGCCCCTCCTTGCATGAAATTACCTCCGCCCCCTGGATATTCATGACCTCCCCCTTTGGATCTGCTTGCATCAACTGGAGTCCAAGTTTACCCATCAAATCACGTCCCACGATGGATGGTCTGGTCCCCCCAATGACTCGGACTTCTGCTGTCGTCTTCCAGCCGTTTGATGCTAACTCGAGTTCCATTCTGCCCAACATCTTGATCCGATTGTTACTGTAGTCTCGAAATTCGTCATCGTCAGTGCTATCCTGCTTCAAGTTGATTCCCGCTCTTCCCACTGTTCTTCTCAAATCTTCTAGTGTTAGAATGGATATCGGCGATCCACTGTCGATCCAAATGTTCATCGGGTGCCCATTAATGAATATTTTGAGTTTAGGCCCAGCAACTTTCAACACCGTTTCCTTCTTCCGTCGAATTGCCATCACCATGTAATCGTCTGAACTTTCTGATGACCAGCTGTGGTGTTCTCGTTTAACGAAACCTACTGAATTTGCCGCAGCTTGGGGCTCCACGTCATCCGAGGGGGTATCTTCCTCGTCGAAGAGCTCATCCCCTTGGATCAATCCAACCGGTTGTCCCCCCCTGGATTGTCGTTTTCCCCGGCATGTCCTCTCAAAGTGCCCAATCTTTTTGCAGAAATTGCATGTGACGGCTCTTGCTGGGCATCGTTGTCGGTGTTCTGGGGCGAAGTTCGGTTGATCGTAGTTGTAACATCTGCGCTCTTGCATTCGATCGTGTGTTCGACCTCCTCCACGATTTGGATATTGACCCCGTCCCCTTGGCATTCCTCGTCCCCTGGATCCGCGAATATTGCTGACTGGTTCCGTTTTGATCTGTAGGGAACCCCCTGGCGATGGATGCGCCATTCCCGTGGAACCGGATACGGCGCCCTTGTAGCTCCTTGCGTACTTGTCTCCTCTTTCATATGACATTGCGATTCGCAATGCTTCTTCCGGGGTTTTAGTTTCCCGACACAGCTCGTTCTGTGCGTCCCTGTTCCTCATGTTGAAAATAAATATGTCTCTCACCATTTTCCGCTCCTGGGTGCCCAAATTGCATCTTGCCGCCATTCCGCTAAGTTCTGCATAGAACGATTCTAGACTCTCACCCTCCTTTTGTTTCCTCGACAACATTTGGTACATCTCGTACGTTTCGTTCCGCTCTTTCTGAAAAAGAGCTACACAGATATCCAAAAAACGTGGGTATCGTATTGTTTCCATATCTAAATGTGGATGCTGGTTATGCAAGGCTCTCTGTCCCTCATGTCCCAGGCATAAATACAGATTCGATATCAATGTACGTTCACCTTCTGCCCGTGGTCTTCCACCAATGTCACCCAGGTCTGCGATCTGTGCTTCAGTTAATGTCGATGCAAAGTAGTAGTCGGACGAGACTAGTCCATGTTTCGCCACCATCGCCCAATGAAATCGTTGTTTCCAGTGTTCCCATAAAAGTTGCGGTTCCGCCTGAGTTGGAGGCCAGAAGGCCACAATTCCAAGGGGGTTTTTCCCCCCACCATCCACTGGCTGCGCCATAACAAGGGTTTGTAAAAAGATGGCTGTTAAATACTCAATTGACTGTATTCTAGTTCGCATAAATAAGAGAGTGAACTAGAGGTCAACACATAACAGCTAGACAGCTTTTAGTTGATTGACAGGCAGGTACCAAACTCACACTTAATTAAAGTTTGAGAAATAAAGAATAGCAACTAGGATGATTGACAACTGAACATATTGTAGCCCCTGACAATTATCTCCCCACATTCCAGACCGTGTTATTTTGTTGAGCGAAGCTCTTTTTTGCGACTCAAGGCCGATTTTGTGCGTCTAGAACTTTCACGTGGTACCACTTTTGCAGCCAAATTTGGTCAGGTTGTGGTAGACCTGAAGCTAAAGGTCAAGTGAGAGCTCGTCCTCACACACTATCATTGCCATGGCATGGGATCGATTACACGATCTGACGATTCTAAAGTGAACGCCTTACCACTATGCTAAGTGCCCCCTAAAAATGAAAAAGAGCCAAAACTATTTGAAAATTCAGACTAATTTGTTTGTCATCTGAATGCACTCGCAATCAAAACAAATATCGCATGCTAATAGGCACACATGCTAATCGCTACACCCCGAAAAAGACGATAGATCTCAAAAATTTCAACTACTAACGAAGGATAAATTTTCACAAAAATTGCGGAACCTATTTTTTCATACTTGCTCCGCGGACCCAATCACCGAATTGGTTTCTTCATGTTTGTCAATTATTACAATTGCAAGAGCAAGTGTCTTGTAATCGGGAACTAGACTTGTTGAATCTCTAACTATTTTGCCCCCTTTTGCAAAGGGAAGAGATTCGTTTTTGGGTGCAAATTTCACATATGCTTAACTATTGAGTTATTCTTTTTGTAGGGATGGCAATTCGTTCTTAGTTGATCTATGGGGTGAAAACTAAAAGCATCCGACTTTTTTGTTCCGGAAATGTTTCTGGCGAAATTGAACTTGCTTTTTTTTAATGAACCGTAACAACTTCCAGGTTCCTTCTCACTAGGTAAAATGGTTGTTCATCATGGTTTTAAGGGAGACTTAATAATTTTTATAAAATCAAATTTTCGGATCAACTGGTGTCTGCTCAAAAATTGTCGGCTTTGTTTCCGCTTCGTGAGATTTTTTCACGTTGCTTATTTAATTTTCAAATATCTTGCTTGGCTTGTCCGCCTGGAATTCCTGTTGGATGAAAACAGGTACTATGAAAATGTATCAAATTTGTTTTTTATATCTGATTTCGACAATTTGGATTTTTTCCACTTGCAAAAATTTTAGTTTTACTTAAAAACTAGACTACCGATTTTCCAAAAAAGGGTACGCATGGAAAGACCCCCTACTCCCCTATTTACCTGCATAATCTCCTAGTCTCCGTTTTCTTACATTCGAAAAAGTCTGTGGGGGAAATATTTGACCCGTATTTTGGGATTTTTTTCGTTTTGACTTCTATGAGAGACTATAATGGGGAAGAACCAATTTTGGTTATGCTGCTGTGACAAAAATTTCAGTCCTTTCTATTAAGTGTCAATTCGAAGACACTTATTTTGGTCGCCTGCTCTTGACTAAGGATTTCGTTTAGTTGATAAATCTTGGAAGATTCTTAAACTTGAAAAATTTTCACGTTCATAGAAACTTCCAACTGTCTGTTGACTATTTTGAAATCTGCAATGATATAAATTTGAAAACATGAATGTTGCAGATGTTCAATACTCGGATGGAAATAACCGACTCAATTCAGATGAAGACAATTTGCGCAGCAGTCGATCAGGAACCGCCAGCGCACATTTCTCAATTCCAGTCTCATCGTCGGGCGGGGGAGGAGGAGGAGGAGGCAGTCCGGAACCCACTCTGGAAGCCTGTGAAGACTCCTCGTCTACAGAACAGCTGAAGATTCAGTTGAATACTTTATTTCCGCTCCCAAATTCTCAATCGGCATCTACCGGTGGAACGGGGGGAGGAGTAGCGACGACGGGGAATGTGGGGGGTCAGACTACATCGTCGGCAACTGGACCCGTTGTTCCTCCGAAGTGTGTGGTTGTAGGCAGAGACACGGACCCCCTATGTGGAATGTTACAGCTGAGGAATTTCAAGGTAGAATCATTCAAATTTATTTTCTTGCTTGGCTATTTTAATCCAGGTATGGTTGCATAATTAAACGTTGTTTTTTGCTAATTTTTTAAATTGAGAACTTAAGCTAATATTTTAAGTACGTGACAAGAATTAAGTGGAGTGTAATCGCATTAGTAATCACAAGCGACTATCGCACGTGGGGGACTGTATATATTAGGCGAAAATATGTGTTAAATTTAGGCGAAAGTTTGGATAATAAAAGTGTATATTTTATTTTAGCAAAAATCCCCCTAATTTTCCAGACGACTGATAAAAAGCGGTTGAAGACTTCAAAGCCGTTTATCGGTTCAAAGTCGCCGGTGGGCGCGCGTCTCGGCTTTGCGGCGATAACCGGCTTTAATTTTCGTAAAGAGTCCTACCCTCTGTTGGCAAGCTCGCAACACGTTGGCGCGACTGCAGCGGTCACTATTTTACCGTTGATTTGCTGGTTGAATAATATTACGTCTTTTGTTTAGTTTGTAGCATTGGAATGACTTAAGTAATCACATAGTTTTTGCTAAAAATGTACACTTTTTTAATCGAAATTTTCGCCTAATCTTAACACTTTTATTTTCGCCTAATATACAGTGCTGATTTAATTTATCCGGACAAAACGAACAAAACTTGAATTTTCAAACGCGTTTTTCTCAAATTGGGTTAAGGTTAGACAAAAAGTGAACAGAACAAAAGTTGCTTAAAATTTCATCAAAATGAATATGGTGCAATTTTTTCTTCGAAAATCTCAACCAAAATTTTACGCCAAAAATGGGTCATTTTGGCTTTTTTCAATTAATCAAGAATTACACTGAAACTACTTTATTAATTGATGAGAAAATGATATCACAAGAAGCCTCCTACATAGCCCAACAAAGTTTAAGAAGTGTTAAATCTCCAAAAGTTTGCGCAAATGGTTTAAAGTTTGTTTTTAAACAGAGATTCTTGGTTTTATATAGTAAAAATGACATTTATTTACTATCAAGTAAAATTTTTTGGGCTGCTTAAGGGGCTTCTTGGGAAATAGTTTTCTTATCAATTAACAAGGTAGTTTCAGCGTAATTTTTGATCAATTGAAAATAGCCAAAATGACCCATTTTTGTTGTAAAATGTTGGTTGAGAATTTCGGAGAAAAAAATGCACCATATTAATTTTAATGAAATTCTAAGCAACTTTTGTTCTCTTCACTTTTGGTCTTATCTTAACTCAATTTGAGAAAAATGCGTTTGAAAATTCAAGTTTTGTTTGTTTTGTCCGGATAATTTAAATCAGCACTGTAGTTTTTGCTTTAAATAGCCGCCCCCATCGTGTGGATATGAATGGTCTAAAAATCATGTTTGACAAACTATTATTCGATTAGTTTCGTATCAGCCGCCCAGATTTTGTCAAGATCTCATCGTACATAACAAATTATTCTTAGAAATAACTCAATGTTGATATCTGCAATTTCAAATACACATTTGAAGAACGATATCGAGAGTTGAGCGTTGGTTAGAAATGGTTGGTAAGTCTCATCAATGCTACATGTAACATGCCTTCCTGATTTTTCATGTTACCGCGAAGCAGCTTTAATCAATGAACTTCCTCAAAACATCCTAAATCCTAAAAACCTTTTATTTGAACTTCAAAAATCGGAGGCGTAGCAATATCCAAAAGCTGCTTTTTATGGCAGGAAAAAGAGATTGATTTTTTTTATTGCGTTGGACGAACAATCTTTTATTATTCTGGGACTCTTACTGTTTCGTCCTAATTGATTTTTTCCTGAAAGGTTTGCTGATGTTCTCCAATTGTCATGAATTTTTGCATGTAGATTGATTACTTACATGAGCAATTAAATTAACTATTTCAGATTATATTATGGTCCCAACATTAGATCGAAGAATCAATTAAATAATAAAAAAATCAGTGATCCAACAAACTTAATCTCAAACATATAAGTTTTTCTGCATAAGTTTGTTGGATCACTGATTTTTTTATTATTTAATTGATTCTTCGATCTAATGTTGGGACCATAATATAATCTGAAATAGTTAATTTAATTGCTCATGTTTGACACTTTAGGTTCTGCGCACTCGGCCCCAGTCGGACATCGTGTTGGTCCTGGAACACTTCCTGAACTTCCTCAGACACGCCCTCTACTCCAATACTCCTCGCAGTGTGCCCACTCTTAGAGTACTCATCGTGGGAGGAGAGAGGTGAGAGACTTTATTATTCAGTTCAATAGGCGACTGAGGTATGGCGACAATCTTTCGCCAGTGACAATTCATAGTAGGCGATGGTTCGTAGTGTGTACAAAAAGCTACTGCTCTTACCATGCGGTGGTTTGTTGCCGGTGAACATTAGTAGCGGTTAAACCTTTGATCGGATGACAATAAATGTCAAAATTAAAGAGGAAAGTAAAAATCAAAGTTGAAAAAAGGGCCTTACATTGCTTTAGTTATAAGAACCTTATTCGGGCGGTTTTTTTCCAATAGGCTTTGTTCTGTTCTTAAATATTTCAAAACTTTGTGGGTGGTAGGGTGTCCACATCCGAATTATTCTTGGAGGTCTTTGTACTAGCCTTTGACAGCTGTTTTTAGTCTTCAGTTTTTGGTGTTCTTTGGATTTGTCTTTGCCTCTCTCCACCTTCGTAGAATGGTTCCTACCCAGGTTCACTCAAAATAGTCACATAGTTTAATAAAGAAGACTAGTCGTTTTGATAGCAAACTTCACTACATAAAGCAGTAATGCTGATTTTCCTGTCTTGCGCAATTGTAAATTCAAGAGAAGCGAATGATTTAGGGAATATATTTGTCTTTTTACGTAGTTGAGACTCTAATTTTTTTTTCGTTTTTTTCATGAAAAGTCTTAAAATTTGTTCATGCTCAAATTTACGTTTTCGCTGTTTGACTTTTGATTTCTTCTTGAATTCAGTCATTTCCTTTGTTGAAAGGAATGCAAACTTCGCGAAAGAAAATACCTATTGATCCAGTTTTCTCAAATTTGGTTGATTTTAGCAAAAAGTGTCAATCATAGATTGTTCTAGAAATTCAAAGAGCTTCAAGGCCATCTATTTTTTTCTTTGAAATTGGAAGATGGAGATTTTTTTTAGCTGTCTGTTGGCTATGTTTATACTCAACGCTAGCTTACAATATAATTTCGGTCATCATGGGAACATTCCTCGGCTATCGAGTGTCCCGTTTCGGTACATCATTAAATCAATCTCTGCAACTTCAAGGTGCATATATTAAAATTGATATGTGCGGAAATAAACAAGAGTTGTTTTTCAAAAAATATTTTTGCAGTGTTCCCAAGGTGCAGCTTTGACTCTGTGCTCTATTTTTTAAAGCGAACAGAAGACGATCTTCAATTACGGTCATGCAAATAGCGCAAAAACAGTGCTTGTATTTGGTTTTCAATTGGATTTTATTTATACCCCTGCGAGAAAGTGTTTTTTTTTCGCGTTACTTGCGCTCATTGATTTTTTCCATTTGTCTATTGGCTATGCTATATCCTGTCAATGAATTGGCGCTAATCCGAGCTCATGATTTTTGCGCCATTTAGTTGAAGTAAAATTGAAACAGAACATTTTTAATGACACCCTCAAACACTTTCCAAGATCCGTTAATGGATGTCTTTTTGACACAATACAATTTTTGAGGGTTCAAGTCCTGGGCTGATGTCCTTCAATTGTTTGAATGCTCAGTTTATGTCTTTTTGTATTTACGAGAAGGATGAAAACTAGCGGAACTGCTTTGGAACCTGATCTAAACTACATTTTATGATTGGATAATTTAGATATTTTACCAATGTAAAGTATTTAATATTAACCAATCATGATCCATCTAACTAACAACCCACTTATTTGTAAGTGCTGAAGTTACTTGTAATTTCAGCACCAGAGAGATTTGAATTTAACTTAGAAATTAGTTGGACTCTCCCGAGCACTTCAGCAACCGCAATAAACCAGTATACCCTAGATCTATTGAGCCTAGCAGAGACTAGTTAAACAACCTGAGACTAGATAGTATAAGAGTAAGATTAGGATCGGTATTAGACTAAGAAGTTGCACGAATCTATCCGGCCGAAAATAAGATAGCGTGACGAGCAGACGGTGTACCCTATCCGAAATTACTCTATGAGTTAACCACCTCGGTCATAACTCATCTGGTGCGACCATAAGTCTCGAACAAGACCTTAATAGCTTAGAATTAACCAAAATAGATTAGAAATTAGACAAAAACATTTACAAAATGTTATACGACAATAATTTAATCGAAATGTCTCTACGACTCAATAGATCAGAGCCAATATTCCGAACCATAACAGAACTACCCGGAATTGGAAGAAGACCTCGAACCAGAGACGACATACGACAAAGTAGAAACTTGCCATATAGCTATATGATAGTTAGGCAAAAACCAGAACAAACTTTTATATTTAGAATACTACTGGCAATGAATTTAGATTTTCATTTGCAAACATAAAACCTTGAAGTTAATCTTCAAAATCATTTCAGGCGCTAAACAAAATTATTAATATACAATAACGATTGATAAAAAGATCTAAGATCGTTTTCCTAAAACTCTGCAGTAATATACAAAACATGTTTGAAAAATATTTATTGAAAAATAAAAATAAAAATTAGTAGCATGACAATAAATGGTTAGTAATCATAAATCATCCTGTTGTTCCAGCTCCATCATCTAAAACATAACAGCAATCATAAACCCACTAATATCATCAAGACACTAAATCTTTCCTTTACACACATTTAAAATTTTATTAAAACTTAAATTCACTTAATTTTAAAACCAGATCATCAAGGCTTATCCTTGGATCTTAAATCATTTTCTACTTAATTAAATTTCAAATTTGATCATCAAGGCTTATCCTTGGATCAAACAGAACAACTTTGTTCTCCCCCACCCACTTAATTAGTGTCTAACGACCTCAAACGTCGATTCACTACCCAACCCTTTCTAAAGACCCAAGACTAATAGAAATTTTTAAACAAAACTAATCATTCAAATTAGGATAAACAGTGAAGAACTTCGGTTATTCATCCTTCACTTGACCCCCCCTCTTACCAGACCCAGGATAAATCTTAGACTTAGTAAGTTTAAAATAGTATCTAACGAACTACTCGCGTTCTAATTATACCTGAACCTTGTGGATCGATTTACTATTCTCCAACCCTTGAACACAATCACTACCCCTAAGTAAGATTAAGTAAGTTAACACCTTAACTTATACTAGCCACGAGAAAGTAAAAAATCATTCTTCGGAATCGATATACTTTTCTCTCCAACCCTGAACAAATAGACCCAGGTTAAGCTAACCAAAAAATCGTAAGAACTAACAGTTTAAGAAAATAGAAACCATTTAACAACCTTTTGCATCCGTCATCCTAAACCTTATGTCATTTAAAAACCTAGGAAATAAACAAACAATCGTTTTACACAATTGTGAAATAGATAACAAAAAATACGACCTTGTAATCACACCTCATACACAAACAGTTGGATACATTCGAACAAAACGACAAACACTAAAAAGAAAAATAATAACGAAACAAAGACAAATAACACGAAAAAGATTTTCAAGAAATCGAAACGCATTTTCAGAATCAGAAACCAACAGTTTAGACGAACTTTACAAACTAAAAGAATCAATAGATAAAAATTGCCCACTTCACGATCAATTATATTTCTCTGACTCAGAAACAACTTCAAATTCATCAAAAAGAGGAAAAAGAAGAATAAAAAAGCAGTATAAACACAAACCAGTACACTTATACAATTGGAATCAACCAATTAGACACATTGATAATTACATATTAACAGTCATCGAACGAAAAAATGAGCTCAACGCACACCCCAGGTGAAGAAAGTCCAGATGATGATGAAATCTTTCCTTTTATAGTAGATGCAACCACTGATAGAGGACAGCATATATTTTGCAAAAATTTACTATTAAATTTATTTGAACCCGGAATTAGTCCATGTAAAACAGAGTTCCCAGATGTAAAAATCAAAAGACAAATCATAGACCACTACTTAAAAGATATATGCAACATAACACAACAGTATGGAATCTACTCCATAGAATTCACCTCACCAAACCATAATAATAGAAAATATACAATTCAAACAGACGATCTTGATTTAGAATTTTCAAAAGTTTTTTCAGAATATATAAAAAGCATCCAATATCATAACTCACAAAGAGCAAACTCCATATTCACCAATGAAGTTTTCGCAATAATATATAGTTATATTTCGATATTAGAAAACGAAATCCCAATAACAAATGTCTCACCGACAGAAACATCTAAACATTTAAGAGTACGACATGAAATCACACTACTCTCTAGTTATTTAAACATCATTAAAGAAAATTTCACGAAAGACGACGTTTCACAACATACAAAACACGATCTACAAAAAATTTTGGCATGGTTCATAATAGATTATTTCACACACAATATTGATTTAATTGCACAAGCAAGAAAAAATTTTAGACCCCAAAACTCGAACGATGATACCGCTATCACAGAACAATCAGATTATGTTTGGGACCCCGAATGGTCTCATCCCGCATTTATAAGCTTCCCACAATCAATCTCAAGTCAAGCAATAAGTACGATATCTTACATAAGAGATTATGTAAAAGTAATACCATTAACCATTGATGCAACACCATTAAACTATAATACATTTTTACCCGATACACAAAATAATAGTTTAAACTCTACAGTTATACACAATGAAAATCTCAATGGAACTAGGAATCTTACTCAACAAGATATCCAGACACCATCACACTTCATAAATGAAGAAATTGTACACACAACAACTACACAACAAAGTATTTCACCAATACGCCCAAATTTAACAACACCAAGAAATACAAATCCTTCACAAACACAGGTAACCTTACAATCAACCGTTAAACCTTCGGTTGCCCCTAAATATTCACATATGGATTACCAAACATACAGACCCATGACAATACCATCAAAAACACGCAAAACATTCACTAGAAACAACTTTGCAGACCATAATTATAATTATACACATCCATCAAAAACATATAACCAACCACAAAGAAATTTTAACCAATATACAAGATCTCGAAATTGGGATAACCCAATGACCCAACCTAATTCAATAAATTTCCAAACAAATCCTCCACAGGATCACAGTGAAAATTA